TTTAATTAATGTATGTACAATATATTTTTCTAGACATAATGCTATTGTTCACTTAATTGAATAAATATAGTCTAAACATAACTTTTATATGCACTGGGAAAACAAAAATTTCCTGTAACTCCCTTCATTGCAACATTCATTTTATTGTGGTGGTCTAGAATCAAACCCGCAAAATCTCCAAGGTATGCCTGTATAGTTTCAGCTCTTAGATTTAGGTCTCTGATCCATTTTGAGTTAATTTCTGTGTGTGGTGTGAGGTAGGAGCCTGAATTCCTTCATTTGCACGTGGATATCCAGTTGTTGCAGCACAGTGTGTTTAAAAGACTACTGTTTCCCCCATTGAATTGTTTTGGCACTCTTGTCAAAAATCAATTAGCCATCAAGAGAATGAGAAGACAAGGCATAAACTAGGAGAAAATATTTGTAAAAGACATAGCTGATAAAGGATTGTTATCCAAAATATACAAAGAACTCTTAAAAATCAACAATAAGAAACCCAACATCCCAATTAAAAATGGGTAAAAGATCTGAACAGATACCTCACCAAAGAAGATGTACAACTGGCAAATAAGCCTATGGAAAGATGCTCCACATCATATGTCATTAGGGAATTGCCAATTAAAACAACAATGAGATACCACTACACACCTGTTAGAATGACAAAAGTCCAATGCACTGACAACACCAAACGTTGCTGAGGACGTGGAGCAACAGGAACACTCCTTCACTGCTGGTGGGAATGCAATATGGCACGCCATTTTGGAATACATTTTGGCAGTTTCTTACAAAACTAAATATACTTTTATCCTATGAAGCAGCAATCACATTCATTGGTATTTACCCAAATGAGTTGAAAACTTATGTCTACACAAAAACCTGCACTTGGATGTTTACAGCAGCTTCATTCATAATTGCCAAAACTTGGAAGCAACCAAGATGTCCTTCAGTAGGTGAAAGGATAAACAAACTTTGCTCCATCCAGACAAGAGATATTAGCGCTAAAAAGAAAGGAGCTATCAAGCCATGAAAAGACCTAAGACAACCTTAAATGTATATTACAAAGTGAAAAAGGCCAATCCCCAAAGGCTACATACTGTGTGATTCCAACTATATGACATTCTGGAAAGGCAAAACCATGAGACAGTAAAAAGATCAGTGATTGCCAGGGGTCAGTGGGGAGAGAGGGGTGAATAGGTGAAGCACAGATGACTTTTAGGGCATACTGTAACAGTGTACACATATCCTTATATGTTTGTCAAGACCCATGGAATGTGCACCACCAAGAGTGAGCCCTAATGTAGACTATGGACTTCAGGTGATAATGACGTGTCAATGTAGGTTCATCAATTACAAAAAATGTACCAATCTGGTGGGGATGTTGATAGTGGGGGAAGCTGTGCATGTGTAGGGGCTGGGGGTATATGGGAACTCCACCTTCTGTGCAATTTTGTCGTGAACCTAAAACAGCTCTAAAAAATAAAGTCTATTTTTAAAAACTCAATTGGCCATAAATTTATATTGGCCGTTAATTTTTAAAAATTAATTGCCTATATATTTGGACTCTCAATTCTATTCCATTGATCCATATGTCTATCTTTATGTCAGTAACACACTGTCTTGATTCCTGTAGCTTTGTAATCAGTTTAGAAATCAGAACACGTAAGTCCTCCAACTTTGTTCTTTGTCAAGATTGTGTTGGCTCTTCTGGGTACCCTGCATCTCCATATGAATTTTAGGGTGAACTTGATAATCTCTGCAAAATAGGCATTTGGGATTTTGATAGGGATTGCACTGAATTTGCAGACCAAGCTGGAGAGTATTGCCATAATGACAACATTAAGTTTTCCAGTCTACGAATGTGGGATGTCTTTCCACTTATTTAGTCTTCTTTAATGTTTTCCAATGATGTTTAGTAGCTGTCAGTGTACGAGTCTTGCATTTCTTTTGGTAAATTTATTCTAATCATGTTTACACATAAATTTTTTTTGATGTGATGTAAGGAGAATTGTTTTCATAATTTCATTTCTGGATAGTTCATTGTTAGTGTATAGAAATACAATTGATTTTTGTATATTGATCTTGCATCCTGCACCTTTGTTGAATGTGTTTATTAGTTCCAGTATTTTCTGTGTGGATTCCTTAGGATTTTCTCTACGTAAGATCATGTCATTTGTTGCTAGAGATAGTTTTACTTCTTCCTTTCTAATCTGGATTCCTTTTATTTCATGTTCTCACCTAATTGCCATGGCCAGAGCCTCCAGTAAAATGTTGAGTACAAGTGGTGAGAGAGGACATCCTGCTGTTGTTCCTGATCAAAGGGAGAGCTTTCAGTCTCTCACCATTGAATGTAGTAGCCGAGGGTTTATCTTAGATGGTCTTTATCAGGTTGAGGGAGGTCCCTTCTGTTCCAGGTTTGTTGACCATTTGTTTTCTATGTCTGCTGAGACCATCATGTGGTTTTTGTCCTTTATTCTATTGGTATGGCATACGACATTAATTGCTTTTCATATATTAAATCAATCTTGCATTTCTGGGATAAATCCTGCTTGGTCTTTTTATACGTCATTGGATTCGAATTGCTAGTATTCAGTTGAGCAATTCTGCATCTACAGTCATAAAAGATATTGGTCTGTAGTTTTCTTTTCTTGTGATGTCTTAGTTGGATTTGGTGTCAGGGTGATCCTGCTTTGCAGGATGAGGTGGGAATATTCTCTCTTCTTCTTCTTATATTTTTTGGTGCTTGATGTTCACTGTATCTTGATGGCATTGCTCTGTGTAACTGCCTTGCTCAGTGGGGTCCAGCCCTTGGCCCAGCCATATCCCTGGGAGTTTCCAGTTCACTGCGTCAACCATGCTTGGCCACAGATATCCACTAGATGTTGGTGCCTGTGAAAGGGGGTGTGGTGAGAGCCCCTCTCTGGGTAGATAAGAAGTCAGTGCTCTGAAACCCTGCACACCAGCTCAGGTGGTCATCAGTAAGGCCTTGGGGGAGCTCCTGTTATGAAACTGCCCAAGCCTCTTGATTGGAAATGCATTTTTCTGCATATTGTGAAGGCATTTCAGAACAGCAACATCTGCTCAGTTATGTTTAGGCCCCACAGGAGTGGGGTAAGGAAGATGTCATCCCTGTAGGAAGTGGGAGCCCATGTGAGAAGTTCCTCAAGACAACATCAGCCAAATGTCAGAATGGGCAAGAGAGCTGGCTAAGGCAGAGTGTTCTAAGTGGCACCATCTTATCTCGGAGTCCACCATCCTGTCCCCAGCCCACTGAGCCAGACAGCCTACAGGTGCCCCTAAAATCCTATTCCACAAACCATATATAAACCTGACAATATGGAGAAAGTTCTGGGGGAAGAGGATGTCTGTTTTGGTTTTGCTTTGCTTGGATGGATTGTCATCATTTTGCTGTAAACAAGTCAACACCCTGTGACACCAACCTTTCCAGTTTCAAAGAAGTGGGAGGAGCAGAAGGACAAAGACCCCTCAGCCCCAGGAGTAAATAAGCCTGGGGGGGGGGTGACGGTCACGTGATGAGACACATGACATATCTCCTGTGATGCAGGGACTGGCATGGAGTAAATGCTCAGTCCACGATACCTTTCACAGATATCCACAAGTGGGGAGATACTGTTAGGGTCCCCCAGCTTCCTCCAGGCTTGACAGGTGCTCCTGGGCTGGGGGTCTGCCATTGGTGTCTGAGGGGCCCTAGGGTGCCCCAAGCTGGAGGGCTGGAGTTTGTCCCCAGTAGTCAACTTGCCTCCTTTCAGGACACTGTCTGTAGCTAGAAGCTGAGAACAGCTAGCATGAGTTCTGCCAATTCACAGAACACTCCCCAAATCTGGGCACTGCCTTGTCAGTGGATGAGGGTGGCTTCCTGCCATCCCATTGTGCTGGGAGGTCAGGGACTGCCCAGGGCCTCTCAGCCAGATTCATACCCTCATCTTACCAGAGTCTTGCCTGTCGCCCGCATCACCTACACCTCCCAGTGTTGAGGAGCCTGGATGGTGCCCAGCTGGTTGAGTACATATGTTGGGATGAGGGGTCAAAGTGGGTGTCTGCAGCAGTGGAAAGCAGATGGGGTCCAGACACACGCCCCCAGACCTGGACCTTAACCTCTACCAGCCTCTCGAGGCCACTCTGGTGACCTGGGTTAGTCACATACCTGGTGGCCTGCTCTGTGACACAGGGCTTCCTCATCCGTGAACCGGACACAGTAATAAGGCTTCCCTAGAACCTGGGGAGCTCTTGGCCTTGACCTTGTGAGGTACGAGTAGGGTGGGCTGAGTATGTGTGTCACCACGTGGTGGAGCCCAGGGGTGGGGGCAGGTGCAGTATGCAGAGTGGCTTCAGTGGTGACAGCAGGTGAGTTGTGCCAAGTCCTGTGGGGATAGACTCAGGCCAGGAAGGAGGTGAAGGTTCCAGTACCTAAGGGCAGAGGCATGGCAAAAATGGCTCTGGCAATGATGTGGCGGCAGGGTGCGGGGCCTCGGTTTCCAGCACAGGGCCCAGGGCACCCCCCACTCCTGGGGGGTTGCACTAATACACCAGCCCACTGGGGTGGAGAGTGGGGGATGAATGCCTCTGTCTGAGGCCAGGTAACCACCTGCGCATATCCCAGGGCCACAGAGTCGCTCCTGTTCCGGGTCCTGGAGGCCTGGCCCAGCTCCTGGGAAGTCTCAGGTTTCCACCCTGCTCTGGGATCCCAGACCACTGGAGCAGTTCCTAGCCAGGCTCCCTGGTGCTGCCACCTCCTCACCCTCAGGGCCCCTCCTAAACAGGCCCAGATCCAGATCCACCAGGCTCCCTCCCTTGCCTAGGAGGCAGGCCAAAGGGATCTCCACACTTCCTGTGACCTCCTGCCCACCCTGCTCGCAGGCCCTGACTTTGCCTCATCCAGCCCTCCAGCTGGCCAGTGGTTCAAGGCTTGGGTCCCCAGGGCAAGATCAGGGCAAAGACTGAATGCTGGTCAGGACTGTCACTCTAAGGGCAGCCTGTCACTCCCCTCTGGCCCTTGTAGGTGCCGGCAGCTGGCTTGGCGCTCCTCTCAGCTGCCCACCATGGACCAAGGGCTGCCCAGCACTGCGAGCCTGGTGCGCTTCTGCCAGAAGCTGAACCGGCTGAAGACAGTGGAGGAGACCACCAGGGAGACGTCGCTGCGGCGCCACCTGACCACGCTGCACCTGACCCTGCTGGGTGTGGGAGGCTTGGTGGGCTTTGAACTTTACGTGCTCACAGGCATCATGGCCAATGAAATGGCTGGCCCTGCGGTGATTGTGTCCTTTGGTGTGGCCGCCGTGGCCTCCCTGCTGGCAGCCCTATGCTACGCGGAGTTCGAGGCATGTGTGCCCGGCAAGGGCTCTCCTTACCTGTCCACCTACGTGTGCATGGGCGAGCTGTGGGCCTTCCTTGTTGGCTGGAACATACTCCTCCGGGGCCTCATTGTTGGTGCCTCAGGGGCCCGTGCCTGCAGTGGCTACCTGGATGCCATCTTCAGCTACCCCATCCGCAGCTTCACCATGGCCCATGTGGGCATCTGGCAGGTGCCCTTCCTGGCCCAGTACCCAGACTTCTTGGCTGCTGTAATCGCACTTTTGGGCAGCATATTCATCTGCTATGGAGCCCGCCTCTCTTCCTGTCTCGACTACACCTCTTCTGCCATCAACCTGGTCATCATCCTCTTCATCATCATTGTGGGGTGTGTCCTGGTCCACCCGCATAATTGGACTGCTGAGGAGGGTGGCTTTGTGCCCTTTGGCTTCTCCGGCATCATGGCTGGGGCCGCAACTTGCTGCTATGCCTTCGTGGCTTTGAAGATATTGCTGCCTCCAGCAAGGAGGCCCGGAACCCGAAGCAAGCTGTGCCTATTGCCATCACCATCTCACTGGGCCTGGTGGCTGGCGCCTACATCCTCGTCTCCACTGTGCTCACCCTCATGGTGCCCTGGCACAGCCTGGACCCTGACTCGGCACTCTCTGATGCCTTCTACCAGAGGGGATATAGCTGGGTGGGCTCCATTGTGGCGGCTGGCTCCATCTGCGGTAAGGGGCCCTTCCTGACAAGGTGGGAAGGACCAGGGAAGTGAGGCCCTGCCCTAAGCCTCCCAGGGAACCAAGTCCTTTCCTGGCAGAGGGACTCAGCCCTAATCAGATTCTCTAGCGGGTCTGTCACCTAAACTGGGCTGTGCCATTCCTGGGTGGTGAGGGGCAACAATCCAGCACCCCACATACACTCAGGCTCACTCTGAGAGCCCAAACTCAAGCCTGTGTTCCCAAGGGGCCACCCACACCGTGACCCTCAGCAGTGGCCCCCGGTGGGCCTGTACACCATGCTGACCAGTCTCCCACCCTCTGCCACAGCCATGATCACCGTCCTGCTCTTCGACCTCTTTTCTGTGCCACACATCGTCTCTGCCATGGCTGCTGATGGGCTCTTCTTCCAGCTGTTTGCCCAGGAGCAGCCCTGGATGCAGGCGTCCATGGTGGGATTTCTGGTGATTGGGGGCCTGTTGACTTTATTGGCGCTGCTGCTGGACCTCGAGGCACTGGTCCACTTCCTGTCCATCAGCACACTCCTGGCCTATAACTTCATGGCCACCAGCATTATGCTACACTTCCAAAAGGCTCCTCCAACCAGTTCCCTGGGCCCAGTGAGCCCTGTGGGCACAGAGCAGGCCTCAGCCCCTGAGCCCGGGCAGCTGCGGCCAGCCCTGAGGCCCTACCTCAGCTTTCTGGGTGGGTGCAGGCCTGGAGCCACTGTGGCTTGGGCACTCGGTGTCCTGGTGGCCTCAGCCATCACTCTGGACTGTGTGCTGGTCTTCGGGGACTCAGCCCTGCACCTCCCGCTCTGGGGCTACACCCTGCTGCTCCTGCTCAGCTCCATCATGTTTCTGCTCAGTCTCCTCGTCCTGAGGGCCCACCAGCAACAGCGCCGGCAGGACACCTTCCAGGTACTTCCTCCAGCCAACACCCATCACTCACAGCCCAGCCAGCTCCCCTCGCCCCTCCCTCCTCTGCCATGGCAGAATGCACCCGGGTTCACAGGGCAGGGGAGGCCAGTGCCTCCTTCCCCTCTTTCTGCATGGCTAGTGGGCCCTTGTCTCCAGAATCTCCAAAGGTGGAGAAAGGCTCTGTGGACTCCCAAGATGTCATGCCCTGGGCCAGCAGACCTTCGCACAGCCCAGCCCAGCCCTGCCCTTGTCCTCTCAGGTTCCCCTGGTGCCCCTGACTCCAGCCCTGAGCATCCTCCTCAACATCTTCCTCATGCTGCACCTGAGCTACCTGACCTGGTTGGGCTTCTCCATCTGTCTGCTGATTGGTGAGTGGGGGCCAGGCTGGGACCTGGATGGGCTGCAGGAGGAGGGCAAGCAGGGAAGCAGGGCTGGGACCTGCCCTCAGGCTTGTGCCACCCTTGTAGGACTCGCAGTGTATTTTGGCTAAGGCATCCGGCACAGCAAGAACCAGCGGGAACTGGACCAGGAGCCCGGACACATGGAGCAGCCCACCAGTCCACGAGGACCGCTGAGGCCTGCTCACCCCTCCCCACTTCCTTAGGAGACCAGAGGGGCTGGCAGGCCCTTCTATCCAGAGCAGCTCAGGTTTGCAGGCCTGCCCATGCCAGGGGTCCTCAGATCCTCAGGACCTTAACCCGGGTGCCGAGCTTGGAGTCCTTCGCAGTGGGCCATGGCCAGTGCTGGTGTGGTTGACTCTGCCCAGTGCCTTCCAGTTTATGACCAACTCCAGCTACCTGGGCAGGTGGAGTAGGGCAGGCAGGCAAGAGGCTCCCAGCCCCAGAGATCCACAATAATAACTGCTTGGCCAGCTAGGAGGCCTGTTTCCGTATCCACTGTGGCGTCTTTGTGGCACTGAGGCCTTCCCTACCTCTGGGAAACAAGTGATTGTCTGCAATCCACAGCAAAGGTACTGAGGTTCTGTAAGCGGGAGTTACCAGCCCTGGGACAGCCCAGGGTCAGGGACATGGCCAGGCCTGTGTCCCGGGGTCCTGCTTTCAGGCCATGCCCTCTGCCCAGCTCAGAGGGGAGCTACACACATCGGGCACAGAAGTGTCCCTGACAGGGCGGGGATAGGCTCCCTCCCAGGCTCGCCACACGTCCCCTTGGGGGCAGATCCAGAGAGCAGAGCCTGGACCCAAAGGAGGCCACCTAGAAAGGGCAGTGGAGTTCTGGGGTTCCCTCGGTTTCCCAGGGCTCCCAGAGAGCAGGACATGTGCCTTGAGTCCCCAGGATGCAGAGGCCCAGTCACCGGGGTACACGCATCTCTCAGGCACAGGCCCACAGGCCCACACGGCTCCCCTGGGGGTGCACACCCACGTGCAGACTGAGGCAGCAACAGTTTCCAAGCTCAGGGCTGCCCGCAGCTCCCCAGCTGCCTCTCTCCCTGCCCGCCCCTCAGGGCTTTGTGATAAAGGCTCGAATTGGGACACACAAGTGCAGGTCGGGGCACAAGCGCCTGGGCCTGATCCAGGTACCTTCCACACCTCTGGTGGCAGGGGGGCCCCAGACCTGGGGGTCCCCAGGCCCACCCTGCAACCCCACTGGTCTCCCCAAGACCACACTATGTCTACCATAGACGCCTCCCTCTCCCTGTTCCTGCCTGTAAGGGCCACACAGGAAGCTGCTGGCTCTGGCAGCTTTACTCTTCGGCTCTCTGCAGCCTTGACCTCAGCTTTCTCTGGGCCCCAAGGACAACCAGGTACCCGTGACCCCGCTCCAATAAGCAGGCTCAGGGCCGTGTTCTCTCACCCTGGCCCTTCTGTACTCGCCTCCCATGGACACAGCTCTGGGGATTGAGAGGAGCAGGCTTTGCTGGGGCTCCAGGTGCCAGATGATTCCAGATGCTGCCCAGCCTGAGCCCCAGCCATGGCCCTCCCCAACCTGGCCCATGTCTCTCCACCAGCAAGCTGCCTGCATGCCCCTGGTCACCAGGGACCCAAGAGAATGCCACCCCTTGTCTCCCTGGGGTGGGTACTCCAAATCCCTGCCTCTCCCTGGACCAAGAGAGGGCTGGGCTCCTGCAGCCTGCATCACTCCCCTCCTGACCGTGGTCCCGGGGGCACAGGGAAATTCTCCAGCAGGCAGGACTCAGGACCCCGGGAGGATTCCAGTACCAGACCCAGGCCAGCCTGCTGGAGGCTTCCATGTCCTCTGTTAGGGACATTCTTTCCAGCCCCTGGGCTCCACCTGGGGTCTTGGTCAGAGCGGGATCCTCATGCAGTTGCCTCAGGCTGGGGTGGGCAGCTGCCCAGACACGTTCTCAGGTGTGACCTTGAGCAGAGTGACATATGTGTCCAGATATACAGCCTCCCCACTCAGGGCTCCCAGGAAGCCTGGTGAGCAGGTTCCTGGGCAGTGAGCTGGGGTCACCAAGGAGACATATAGAAGGTCCTAAAGGACCCCATGCCCACCAGCTCAGCCCCTCCCGCCTCCACCCAGCCCTCCACAGCCCAAGGGCTGCTACTGCGAAGAGGCTGGTCCTCACAAGCTGAGCAGGTTTGGGCCCAAGAGGTGCCTGTGCCCTTGCCTGGGGTCCTAAGGCATCAGATCATCTGCCCACCGCATTCCTCACTCCATGGATAAGGCCCAGAGCTGGGAGGGGACCTGCCCTAGGAGCCCAGCCCCAGAGCAGCTGAGACAACTCCTCTTGTCGGCTTCTTTCTCCCTTGCCTTGGACTCTGGCTGCACAGACCCCCATGTAGGGCCGCTGAGAGGGGAGGGGCTCTACTGTGAGGGGAGTGCTGGCAGGGGGAGGAGGGCTGGGAGGCAGGCAATGCTGGAGTCGACCACAGCCAGTGTGGGGACAGCTGGTGAGCAGGGAGCTGCTGGGAACACTGGACACAGGCTGGAAGAATGTTTTCCAGACCAGAGCCAGCAGAAGCCCCACCGGACCAGCGCCTTGTGTCGTGTTCCCCTGCAGGTCTCTATACAAAACTAGTTTCTGTGATCCCCAGGCAGCACACTGCCGAGGCTAGAGTAGGCGGAAGGCCAGTCTGGGAGCTGAAGGGTGGAGTTTTCCCCCCACCCCCTGCCCTGGTCCTGCTAAGGGCTTCATCCATGAGTCCCCAAGGCAGGGCCCCAACCCTTCCCAGCCCCCAAACCCCAACCAGCAGAGAAAGGCTACAGGCCTCAGGAATGGGCCAGTGAGTCGGTGCCAGGGCTACCCTGGAGACGGTGTCCAGCTCCCAGCAGCAGCGGTGGGACAGGTGCGGGGCCCCTCTAAGGCACTTGGGCAGCCGGGTGTGGGGGTGGGGAAGCCGGCTCTGCTCGGCGTTGGCAGTGCCCTTCGGGGCCTTTGCCTGCAGATGAGGACGGCAGGCCACGGTTCCAGCCACCATCCTCCAAAGTGTGGCCCAGGGTCCAGGCAGGCCCGCAGCTCCCCTCCTCAGACTTGGTCCTCCAGGGGAAATGGGCTTCCCCATCCACGTCCAACAGCAGCAGGTCACAGGAGAAGATGAGCTGGGAGAGGCAGGGCAGACCCATGTCCTGGCCCCCACCCTGCCATCCCGCTGCCTCCCCAGCCCTCACCCTGAGACTCATGTCAGCACAGGGGCTCGGGTGCACTCGGGGGGCACACGCTTGCCAGCAGCCAGAGGGAGCCACGTTGGCCAGACTCATCACACCCAGCCAAGCCACTCTGGTGCCCAGAGTGAGGGTTGTGGGGATGAGCCCGAACTTCCCTGCCTGAGGCTGAGCCTCTCTGGCTGTGGCTGTAGCCCCATCCCTGCCCTCCCCCCTGCCTCATGCACCCTGCCATGGCCCCAACCCAACAGTGACATGGATGTCAAAGAGGATCCCATACAGCTTGAGCAGGCTCTGGGCCTCCACTCCTGAGGCATCCCACCAGTGAGCGGCTGTCCTGGGGGCAGGAGAGGGTCTAGTGACCTGCTCTGCCCACTCCTGGGCTGGACTGGCCCTCACAGGCCTGGTCTTACCCATCCATTGACTCCTTCACCCCCAGCCCGAGTCCTGGGTCTCAGCCCTGTGTCATTGCTGAGGACACAGAGGACAAGCAAGCTGGGACCTGCCTCTCAGAAGCTCCCTGCCTGCTGTGCTGAGGGGACAGCAACAGAAGGGTCTCTAAACAGACACTGGCACTGAGGGTGGAGGCGGTGGGGGTCAGGCCCGGGGCTGTGGGGTCCAGAGAGGAGCACTCACTCTCTCCTAGGAACCAAGGAAGTCTTCCTGCTGGGAGACTCTTGGGCTGGTTTCCCAGGGGTCAGGAAGGAGTTCTAAGCAGAGAGGTAGGGCGGGCAAGAGCACAGGGTGAGGGGAGCAGGGCGTGGGTGGGGTCCAGCCCCACACAGCTGCAAAGGGCTGGGGAGGTCAGCGACACAAGGCCAGGCCGGGCCCAGCGAGCAGTGTCAGGGGCATCACCTCCAGGCCTGGTGGCTGTGCGCACGTATGCATGAGGGTGACGAGGTCACATGAGGTGACAGGAGAATGGGGTGTCTGCTTAGGAGACTCAAAGACAGGACAATACATGCAACACAAGATCGTTGAGTGCATCCTGGATCGGAAAATAAAATGATTTAGGACTATTATTGGTACAGCTGGGGAAATGTGCATATTAGATTTATCTGCCAATGTTAGATTTCCTGAGTGTGACAGGAGGCCAGTGGTCACCCAAGGAAGGTCCTCATTCTCAGGACAGCGTTGAGAGGGTAAGTGTCCAGATATCTGCCACTTACTTCCCAACAGTTTCCTGTGAAATCTATCTACATATATCCGGCTCACTCTACAGAGGGAGACAGAGAGCAAATGAGGCAAAATGGAAAAAAAAAAAAAAGAAAGCGCTGATGAACCCAGATGAAGGCTATATGGGTTTTCATCGTACTATAGATTCTTGTAATTTTTTAGATAAAACCTTAGGGGAAAAGTAAGGAAAGCCCCCTGATCTGTGGAGGGCAATGCTGGAAGCAGGATGGAGTGTGGGAGGGGCAGAGGGCGAGGGGGTCCCAGCTGCAGCAGGGGTGTGGGGACACCCAGGGTGGAGGCTGAAGGGCTCAGGAGGGAGCTGGACGGAGCCTGTGCTGGGGGACCTGGAGCTGAGAGCACCCCCTCCTGCCCTGGGGAGCCCTCCACACACAGCAGAGCATCCAGAGGGACGGGCCAGGCTGGGGTCTGTCCCGGCCGCCACAGGAGGACAGGTGGAGGGGCACCTGGCTGAGGAGCAGCAGGCGGGCAGTGGGGCCGCACCTGAAGTCACAGCTCCTCTCCTGCAGCTGGAAGGAGTTATGGGGCTGCAGTGAGAGCCCCCAGCGTCCAGGTCACAATCCCAGTGGACGTGGATGCCCAGAGCCTCGCCCTAAACACAGCGCATCACTGCTCCACCAGCGCACGGGCAGGGACCCTCTCCCTGAGCCCTCCCAGAACCCTGTCCCCCACAGAGCCACCAGCAACACCAGGTCCTCACAGACCCCTCCAGCTGTGGCCAGGAGGTCCCCAATGGGGACCACTGGGCAGTGGGGCTGAAGCCTGGGTCACAGCAGCAGCGCTTGAAATAGGTGGCGTCCCAGTTCTCCAAGGCATTGGACCTGA